CCTGACTCACCTTCTTTCTCCAATCATTCAGTTTAGTTTTCCCTGCCTAGATCTAATCTACCCTATCACAGGTCAAGACAGTTTTTTTATTTATTAACCAATAAAAGCAACACATAGAAGAATCTCCTACATCATACTAATTACTTTAGTAAAAGAAATTTAACTATCTTATAGCTAATGTTAAAGTGACTATAGTTACTGCATTAAGACTCATCTGTCTGAGATCTTTTTAATTTTCCATAATTGATTATAGAAAATTGGTAGGGATTATGAAAAGGAAATGACTACTTAAAAGTCACCTAATATTTTGTTAAAATCTGTCATTGGGGCCAGCGCAATAGCTCATCAAGTAAGGTTCTTACTACCAAGCCTAGTGACCTTAGATTGTCCCCCATTGTCCATATGGTGGACAGAGAGAACCAGAAACAGCTCCTGAGGCTTGTGGGCCTCTGATCTCCAATATTCACGTGCCTGAATACACCTACTAAATTATTTTGTTAAATGCAGTTTAAGTCTTACATTGGTCTGAGCCAGGAAGCAAAAGTGAAGTTATAGAAACTGGTTACTGTGAAGCTTGTATTGGGGTCTGCTGGTCAGACAGGGGAATAGTTTTATCCCACTGCTGGCATGAGGCACGTTATTTGAGATTGACATCCTGAGAACCCCTGCCGTAGGTGCATCTTCAGTGCTCATAGGAACTTCACATTTTAGTGTATAGATCTGAAGATAAACTTAGGAATGCTGTGCTTAGTGTTCTCTGTTGCTTTGTGTTTCCCTGTAAGCTGAGCATTGAGGGAATGCAGAATTTTAATTGTAACTTCGCCAGTACTTCTTCTATCTAGAGGCCTGCTGCCATTTTTGTCTTCTATGAAATTTTTGTTGCCAAGGAAGACAGGATTACAGCTTTGTCTGACAGATTGAGATGGCGTGGTGTATTCTTGGTTATCAACATACTCATGTAGCGTGGGGTTTTAGATGGTGAATAATCACAATGTGGGGGCAAGAATGGTGCATACTGTGTAACCTCAGTTACCTGATGTGTGTACACTTGCAGCTGCATGTGGCTGGGTGACTGTTCTTGGCTTCTTGTGTTTTGTTTCCTGTAATGCACATGCTACACAATAAATAAAAGCAAGTTTAACATGAAAAAAAAAATAAACCTCAGTTTTCCAGTCTGAGCGACTGTACTGTTTGTAGTTTTTGGAAAGAGACCATGATGGTTGGCGGGAACCAGTGACCACTTAGGGTTCCCCAGCTTGCTTACGCTGTGAATTCTGTAGGGGGCAAACTCATGCAGAGGGCCAGTTTGAGGCAGGCCTTGGGGGACACTGACAGAAACTCAGGATTCAAATTCAGAAGTTGTCAGGCTTTACTTTTAGAGTAACGTAGAGATCGTCTATATCTGGTCCTACACAAACTCATCATTATTAACATTCCCCCAGAGAGTAGTACGTTTGTTAGAACTGATGAGCCTCGTTGATGCTTATTAGAACTCATGGCCTCGTCAGCATCATCGTCACCAAGGTCTAGTGGGGTCACAGAAGGATTCATTCTTGACACTGTCTTCAACTGGAGCAAATGTGGGATGATTGTATCTACTACTGAGGACAGCAGGGAGGGGTTTCAAACATCCTCTGTGCTCTCTGCCTCTCCCAGAGCCCTTTGCAGCCACTGATCTGCTTAGGTGCTCCATGGTTTCATCTTTTCCAGAACGTTATACACTGGAAATGGCACTGTCAGCCTTTCAACGCTGCTTCTTTGTCTTAGTGATGACACATCACAGTCTGTCGTGTCTTCACGATATATGATGCAACCATCTTTTCTTAAGTTCCTTTGACATTGCTTTATCTCTGTTGAGACCTCCTGTGTTGCTTTTTTCTTTCATTTTCTCTCTTTTCTTTTTCTTTATTTTTTTGGGGGGGGTTTCAAGACAGGGTTTCTCTAAGTAATGGTCCCGAACAAATGGGGAGTACCTCCCAAAGTATTCTCAAGAGGTCTTATCAGTTTACGTCCCTCCCAGTATATATGAAAATGCCTCTTAACGCATGCTTGCCAGCTTTGTATCCAATCCCGTTTTGGTATTACCTGGTAAAATTTAGAGGTATGTCCACAAGAAACATGGATTTATCTTCTAATATGAAGGGAATGGGTGCCATCCTGTGAGAAGTGCCAAGCCCTTCTCTTACCACCTTCCCCAGCCTCTCTGTTACCTCGGGATACTCTGTACTAAAGCTGTGATTCTGTGGTAGAACGCTTACTTACTACGCCCGAGGATCTGGGTTCGATCCCCAGCACCGGCTAACAAATCAGTACAATATTTTGCTTTCATTTCCTTTACTGTGGATGTGTTTACCCTGTTCTTAGCGGAGGTAAGTTTCATATGGATGCTGGACCTCCCATTGCATCCTTCAGACCCCTGTCTCTCTCTGCTTTCCCGTCATTAATTTCCCAGGTCCTGCAGTGCCATTCTCACTGACCTAAGTAGCATGGCTTAACAAAGAGGCTCCTCCACCCCTCCTACTCCTCCACCCCTCCTACTCCTCCACCCCTCCTACTCCTCCACCCCTCCTACTCCTCCACCCCTCCTACTCCTCCACCCCTCCTACTCCTCCACCCCTCCTACTCCTCCACCCCTCCTACTCCTCCACCCCTCCTACTCCTCCACCCCTCCTACTCCTCCACCCTTCCAGTTACTGTTCACAGCCAAGCAGGAAAGAGTGTTTTTCTACCAATCCAGGAAGAGTTTATACTGTTGCTTTTCTCAACCCAGGACAACCATTGGTTCCTTTACAGTACAGTTTCAAAAAGTTAAAACTGGGCTACTCAAATAGAAAGTAAACCCATGTCAAGAATTTTGTTCCCCTGCTAGTTAATGCTAAGGAACCAATCACATGTGAGTTCGGTTTAAAGGCGAGTAGGAAGAACAAGCAAATGCTAAGAGCTGGGTGTAGTGCGAGCAATTCACTTGTCATTATGAAACTGATTACTTCCTATAAGCAATAGTTGTAGTTTAGAAGGATTGGCCTTTCTACGAAGGGAAAATCCATTGCATCACAACAAGACAAATTTATTTTTTGCTATGGAAAAGGATCCCTATGGAGGCTGCTACTTTTTTTATGACTTAACTTCCTACAAAATTGGAAATTGGCCTAGCCAGTAGCAAAAGACTATGCCCCAGGGAATCCAATAATCCCAAGACTCCTGGTAACACCCAACATCCCACTGAAATAGTATCTAGTCATTTATTTGACTTGAATTGTTTGTCCTATCAGTTCCCACGGAAGCCAGACATGTGTCATAAAGCGGGTGGCCTTCTGCCCTCATTAAATTAGGCCTTCTGGCAAGGTTGGAAAAGGTGTGTTCCTGAAAGGCTTCTCCTGGTGTTGGCACACCACATCCACCCAATTCGCTTTGCTCTGGGTTCTTCTGGCTTCACTTGCTCTAAAGAACTTCTAAATCGCCAGATGCCCAGAGTTACCTGCATCTGTCTACTGTTTGGTTCCAGTTCAGACCCCCGTTATCACCCTGGACTGTATTCCAGAAGACGTCTCGCTGGCCCCTTGTGCATTAGCAGCCAGAGTGTCCAGTCCCTCTTCGGCTTTAAATGTCCCAATGTTCTCTCCTTGTTGTTGGTCCTAAGACCTTATGTGATCTTGCCTTTCCTGGCTATCTCACTGCCCTAGCACTAGTCAAACTGGTCTTTCTGTACCTTGAGTAGAGCAAATTGTTCTCAGGCCCTTGATCTAGCTGGTGTTTACCCCCCACCCCCACCCCAGGGTGTGGGCAGACTCCCACTGTGTCAATCAGATCTCTCTAGTGCCACCTCAGAGATGACTCCCTGACCACCTAAAGTAGCCCAATAAACCCACTTTATCTCTCCCTCTTCAGTTTTCTCATAGCCCGGACAATGTTAAAACCCTATTTTTGCATCTCTAGTTCTTCCTCTCTAGAATTTCTTCAAGGTAGACTTGGCCCAAAGTGTATGCTCTCCAAATGCTCGCTCGTGGGCTAAAAGCCTGGTACAGACCAGCTGTGCTCACATCCCTCCTCCTGTGTTTTCCTCTTCTTGTTCTCTTTCTCCTCCTCCTCGTTTTTTCCCCTCCTATTTATACTCTCTGCCTGCCAACCCCGTCTATCCTTGCTCCTGCCTTGCTCTTGGCCGATCAGCTCTTTATTAGACAGACCATCATGTGTTTTAGACAGGCAAAGAATCCCAGTTTCACATGTGATTCTTTAATCAGTGTAAACAAAAGCAAGACACCTTAAAATAATATTCCCCAACAGAGCTTTAAAGTGGTATTTTGACCGAAATATTTGGCATAGCCCAAGATTCTAGAGTCTGAAAATTCATTCAGGATTTCTAGTCTCTGCTTTATGTTTCATTTCTGTCTGTTTGTCTTCTTCATTTGGGGAGGTGTATTACCATGGCAATGTCTAGCCTTCTAAAGAGCTCTAGAAGTCGAGTAAGGAGCTGGCATCCATAGCATAGCAGGTGAGGAGAGAGGTACATGTCTTGTATTTGTAGACAAAGTTGCTTGGTATTAGAAGTTGGGTTTCTGAGTATCAGACTCTGTGGAGGTTTGGAAGTCCCTGGGGCCCTCGCCATTGTGGTGCAGTGTTACATGAGCTTTACCATGCAGTTAGTGTCTGGGTTCTGTTTTGGTTGTGTTGAGCTGGAAACGGAGTTCCAGTAAATAACTGGATTCGTTGGGCAATCAAGGAAAGAAGTTGTTATCTGTTTCGATTGGCAGAGGCACACAAGTGGAGGGGAAAGATTTAAGCTGTTGCACAGTCTGTTCTTGGTATAATTTGTAGTCGAGCAAGAAAGGAGAAGGGGCCTACACTGTGGTGCCATTGCAAAGGATCATTCTCCATACATCTATCTGACTTATGGGGCCAGTAGCAGGGGAGACAAAACAAGAACTCTAGGAGAAGTAAGCGTGGCATTGCCAATACACTGCAGTGACTCTGGGTAACATCTCTTTCTTTCTATATTCTAGTTAAGAAAAGTGACCATGGAGAACAACGAAACCGCAGTGGATTCCAAATCCATTAATGATTTTGAAGTGTGAGTATCTACTTATTTTTATTGGTTGTTGTTTAAGGCAGGTTCTCTGCCTACCCCAAGCTAACCTGGAGCTCTGTAATCCAGGCTAGCCTCCAACTTGTGATAGCCCTCCGACTGCTGTTTTCTAATGCTCGGGTCACAGGCAAGAGTCACCATGCCTGATGAAACTGGTATCAGTGGAATTCTGTAGTCAAAGGAGGATGTGTTTGTGGCATATAGCCCGCTTTGAGGAGTAGAGAAGCAGAGGCTGGCCTTTCAAACCAGAGAGCGAGCTGCCTCCCGCCTCCTGCAGCTGTGTGGCTCTCGGTAAACTCACCCCTCTGATCTCATCTAAGATGACAGGGAAAGACTTAAGGGCAAGGAGGTTGTTCAAGTATTGTCTCCCTCCCATCTTGTCACAGGAATGCTGGGAACACAGATGTGTGCCACCACTTAGAGCAATGTTCCTAACGCTGTGACCCTTTAATACAGTTCTTCATGTTGTGATGACCCCCCAACCATGACATTATTTTTGTTGCTGCTTCATAACTGTAATTTTGCTAGTGTTATGAATTTGTAATGTAAATATCTGATATGTAACCTCTGTGAAAGGGTTGTTGTAGTGGGTTGTTTTACTCTTTTGACTTTTTGGGGGGACCTGCCACCCAGCTCCCAAATAAATACACACGGAGATTTATTCTTTCTTATAAATGCCCAGCCTTAGCTTGGATAATTTCTAGCCAGCTTTTCTTAACTTTTCTCATCTACCTTTTGCCTCTGGGCTTTTACCTTTCTCTAATTCTGTATACTTTTTCTTTCCTTCTTATTCTGTGTCTGGCTGTGTAGCTGGTGGCTGGCCCCTTCTTTTCTCACCTGTTGATCTCTTGTTCTTCTTCCCAAATGTCTTCATCTGATTAATCTCTCTGCCTGGCAGTCTCGCCTTTCCTTTCTCCTGCCTGGCTATTGGCCATTCAGCTCTTTATTAGACCAGTCAGGTGTTTTAGACAGGCAACGTAACACAGCTTCACAGAGTTAAACAAAGGCAGCATAAAAGAATGCAGCACATCCTTGCTTCATCATTAAACGAATGTTCCATGGCATAAACAAATATAACACTTCTTAAAATAATATTCCACAACAGGCCGTTCAACACCCACCTCCCAAAAGGGTCTTGATTCACAGGTTTAGAATCACTGACTTAAAGCTTCTTCTTCTTCTTCTTCTTCTTCTTCTTCTTCTTCTTCTTCTTCTTCTTTAAATCCTTTTCTTTAAATTAATTTATTTATTATGAATACTACGTTCTGGGCACCAATCTAATTACAAATGGGTGCGAGCCATTATGTGGTTTGCTGGGAATTGAACTCAGGACCTCCAGGAGAACGGTCAGTGCTCTTAACCTCTGAGCCATCTCTCCAGTCCGACTTAAATAAAGCTTCTTATGTGGTTTCTAGTGATTGAATTCAGGCAGAACACTATTACTGACTGAGTTGTCTCCCTGGCCTATACATTTTAAACATGAGTTAATTTCTGTTTTATGTAAACTTTATACACGCAGCCTAAAGCTAATTTTATATAATATTTTGAAAGTGACGTGTCACATCAGGGTTGGTGTGACTTTTTCCACTTGAGGCATCATCTTGGCATTCAAACACTTTTAATTTTGAAGCATTTCTGACTCTAGATTTTGGAATGGGAATGAACAGCTTGTACCTATGTGGCCTAATTTTCTCTGTAGCTATGTGTCATGGTTCTTTCTTGTCTGCCTTCGACCCCCTTCATTTACTACTTTTATTCTCTCCCCACAATTATTTTTAGAGTTGTATAAAGTATAAGATACTATTAAAACTGAGTGTGCATCCTTAACAATGTTGCTTGGTGGTGGGCTGTGCCTAGACATACTGTTTCTAGAACCTTCCTGGATCATGGGTCAGGCTTGTGCTTAGTCTGTCACGTTTGTTGGAACACAGCCACACTTTTATGAGCACGTTGCTCTTGGTTAGTTTCACCTGGCCAGACTGAGTGTCTACTAGGACAGACAGCCCGTGAGCCTGAGAGGCTTAACATTTGGCCTTTGAGAATGACCATTGGCGTCTGGTCTACCTAGCTAACATATTTACATCAGTGACTTCCACACAAGTATTTATAAGGATTTATAATGGTCCGTCTGTGTATTGTTATTCAGTGGTTCAGCTCATGGAGTTTAAGGGTTGATGTAGTGTGTGTATGTGGGTGAGGGGGATTTTAGATAAGAGGACCCACCCAGGGTCAGCCTAGGCTACAGCCCCAAAAACAAAATTTAAAAAAAAAAAATCCTACTTTTATCACTAAGGATAAATTATTTCATATAATGTTAATTTTTAAAAGATGTATTCGGTAAAATTATATTAGGTGTTATAGAAAAACCTTCCACTCTGACTCCAATATAAGATCTGCGCATGACTTAACTGAGCCTTGGCAGGCCATTTCTTCATCAGTAAAATGGGTCATTGCGCATGTATTTATTTATGCTTTCTTTCCCCAAGTCCTTGGGATCAAACCCACATGCTGTGAAAGTTGAATGAGAAAAGGATGTAGCATGAAGTTGGGTACATCAATAACCTTAAACAAATGTTAACTGATCTTATGAGTCAAAGAAATTGCATTAATAGAGTCATCATTTCTGCCTTTGGTAACTAACTATCATTTGATTTCCATGCAGAAAGACCATACATGGAAGCAAATCAATGGATTCTGGAATGTATATGGACAATAGTTACAAAATGGATTATCCTGAAATGGGTGTGTGTATAATAATCAATAATAAGAACTTTCATAAAAGCACTGGTATGTATCTAACAATTTTTAAGACATTTCAAATAGTTATGCCATTTACATTGGGATGTAACATGAAAAGCAATATCAGTGTGTTATGAGTCAGTAAACTGATAGAGAAAACCCACTAAGTAGGGATAGGCTGGAACCTTACAGGTCCCATATACAATATGGACTTTTCTTCCATGCTCAGAGCCTCTGCCTCACCTGTGACTGTGAAAGGCTGGATTCTGTTGCTGCCCAACAGAACCAATACCTTGAGAGGCTGAGTGATGGGAGAAGAAAAGGCCTCGTGAGCAACAAGCTGGCAGGGATAAAGATTAATAGCAGGCACCTGAGGTCCTCTGCCCTGAGGCATTTGAGAAAGTGTCTCTAGCATCCTTTGCAGGGGCCCTTAACTCATAGTCTCAGTCAAGTGGGCATGACCCTGAGGTCATTCCTTAGTCAATTTTAGAATGCAAATTAGGGCCTCTTATCTTAGTTTGAGGTTGCTAAGTTATCACCACCCTGTGCCACATTTCCCATTTGCAGGTCTGTGTACCCGGCTTTAGGCACAATCTGCTTCTGTGTTTAGAACTATGTAATTGAGGTCTTTACCCCAACCTGAGAATGAGTGCACAGTAAAATGAATGGCGTTTTATACTAACTCTCCAAGTAGTCATTAAGCTATAATATATAATCTGGGATTGTGCGGTAGATCTGCACTCCAGTGAAGACTACACATCCAAGAATAGATGGGCAGCAGAAAGTGGGTTTTTTATAAAAACAACACAGAGTTGAGTAGGAAAGAAGTCATGGACCTAGAAGGAATTGAAGGCACAAGGATGAGTATGACCAAAATATATGGTATGAAATTCTCAAAGAACTAATTAAAAAACTAAGAAAAAGTAAAATTAAAGAGGAAAAAGAGGAGAGGAAAAAGATAAGAATATGGGGGTTGGTAGAGTGCTTGTTTGTCATATGTGGAGACAGTTCTATTCCTCAGTACTACATAAACCCTGGGTGATCGTACATTCCTTTAATCCTGTCAATGTTGCTTGGGAGGAAGGGGTAGGAAGTTGGTCCCTGGGCTAATGGGATGCTGCTTCAGACCAGACAAAGCAATTACCTTAGCATCTTTACTTTCAGTGGTTAGAGCCCAGTGTATGTGGCTGAGCTGTACTAATGATCTGTAGTCTTCATTGGTACCTCCTCGATGATCCATAGTCCTCATTGGTGCCTCCTCCATGATCTATAGTCCTTATTGGTCCCTCCTTGATGATCTGTAGTCCTCATCGATATCTCCTTGATGATCTGTGGTCCTCATCAGTACCTCCTTAATGATCTGTGGTCCTCATTGGTACCTCCTTGATGATCTGTGGTCCTCATCGGTACCTCCTTGATGATCAATAGTCTTTATTGATATCTCCTTGATGATCTGTGGTCCTCATTGGTATCTCCTTGATGATCTGTGGTCCTCATCAGTACCTCCTTGATGATCTGTAGTACTCATTGGTACCTCCTTGATGATCTGTGGTCCTCATCGGTACCTCCTTGATGATCTGTAGTACTCATTGGTACCTCCTTGATGCCAATAAGAGGTTCTCATTCCCTTCTTCCCTCAATACTCTCCTTCTACCATGTAGGTACCAGGGATCAAATTTAAGTTATGGGACATGGCAGCAGGTGTTACTGAGCTGGCTGAAAGGTTCCTAACTTTATCACTTTGAACAAATTTGTTTTCTTCCTTCCTTTTAAACCAAGCATCTCTGATGCTAAGCTTGCGATGTACCCAGGGCAGGTTTCTTAGCTCATTTGTGCTCTGCATCCCTCGTGTATACAAATGAAGCTAGTAAAACGCATCTTGTGATGGTTGGAAAGTCCATATATTGTCAATATAGCAGAATACCTGCTTAGCAATACTACTCATTATATCTGTGGATTTTCCCACAAAAAAGATCTACAAGTAGTACTGTCTTAAAATTGATCCTGCACAGAATCAAATAAGAGTGTCTGCAAGGAAGCTATACAAAACAAAACTAAGATCACATACTTTCTTCTATCTTTCTAAAATGATTCACTGGATGCTAAATAAGTTAGCAATTTTCAAAAAGATCACTGACTATTTCCCCATGGTCTTAGAAAATATTCACCATGAACTGAGAGTAGCAGCCTATGCCTATAATCCCAGCCCTCGGGAGGATTATTGTGAGTTCAAGACCAGGTGGGGCTACAGTGGGAGACTTTGCCTGTGAATGAGTGGATGAATCAGATGGCGACATGGTACATCATCATATGAGCAAATCACCATTTATCAAACAGACCTCTACTTCCAGGCGTCCAAAGTCCCCTCTTATTTTCATCGTTGAAGCTTCTGTGGAGGATGTCCCCCATGTCCCTTCCATGACAGTACAAGCTGATACAATGAAGTGTCTTGTTTCAACAGATTACAGGCTCTGCCACCATGATCAAAATAAGTAGTTTTTCTTAACATTTGAAAGGAAGCGTTCATTGGTTGTGTGAGTTGCTGAATTGCTCATTTAGTCTTAAAGCGGTTATTCTTTTAAATTGCAATTAAGAGAAGTTCTTTCTGTCCCGAGGAATGACACCTCGCTCTGGTACTGACGTTGATGCAGCCAACCTCAGAGAGACATTCATGAGCCTGAAGTATGAAGTCCGGAATAAGAATGATCTTACTCGTGAAGAGATTGTGGAATTGATGGATAAAGGTAAGAGATAATTCATTAAAAGAACTAGAAGAAGCATCCAACATCTGGCCAAAGGACAGAGATATGCTGTGTTGGCAGAACTCAACCAGAAATAGCATATCTATACCTTAACTCTGACAGAACACACAGGGCTCAGGGACCCTTGCAGAAGATGGGGTAGAAAGATTTTAAGAGCCAGAGGTTGGGGAGGACCAGAGGGAAGACATGGCAGGAAAGCTGCACTCAGGAACTCATACCCGTTGGAGCTGCCTGCTCTATCTGCCAGTCAGCGTTCTAACATGAGATAGAGAGGGACTCATGAGTCCCCACCTCTAGGTTGATGGCTGCTGGAGGAGGGAAAATTGGCTTTACTTAAGGGTGTAGTCCCTAATAGATTGACCATGTTCCAGTGGTATATGGCCAGCACAAATTGAACCCTGTGTTAGTAAACAAAACAAAACATAAAGTTGGGAAGTTGGGAGAAGAAGGATCCAGGAGAAGTTGGGGTGTGTATGTGTGGGGATAGATATGATCAAATTGCATGTATGGAATTCTCAAAGAATTAGTAAAAATGCTATATCAAAAAAGAATGACCTTTATTGGGTAATTTTACTTTATGGCCTAGCTATAATTAGACCTATATAGTTAGAGACATAAAATTATACCTTTGCCTTCCAAGTTCTGGGATTTTAAAGGCATGCACCACAACACCCTGCTGCTTATATATTTTAGTAAAAAGTTAAAAAAAATTAATCATGTCACCTCCAAAATGGATCCATATGTGCTCTGCCTGTGTTAGATTCGGATGATCTGGTAGTTCTAGTCTCAATTTCTTCATCCTGTAGTAGTGATATAAACCAGAACTCAAGAAGCTAAAGCAAGAAGGAAGATCATGCATTCAGAACCATCTTGGTCCAATTAGAGAACTAGACACGAATCAAGCAACCACAGATTCTTCATCACGTTTTCAGTGAAACTTGCGAAGTGCTTCTGTGTCTATGTTTTGTTTTCTCTTCTTTCCAAACGTCGTTCCAGTCTCTAAAGAGGACCACAGCAAGAGGAGCAGTTTTGTTTGTGTGATTCTAAGCCATGGTGATGAAGGAATCATTTTTGGAACCAATGGGCCCGTTGACCTAAAAAAGTTAACTAGTTACTTCAGAGGTGACTACTGCCGAAGTCTAACGGGAAAACCCAAACTCTTCATCATTCAGGTACGGCACTGAGCTGCTTGGTGCCCAGTTAAAAAGAGATTAACTTACTTACCAGTATTTACTTTTTGTTGTGGGGCTCAATATAGTACTAGTATATTTGTATTTGTTTAAACCATCACTTAGAAAATATGGAGTATATTTCAATTTTGCTCTTATATTAGAAAGACTCATCAACTTTTCACTGCTCTTACAGTTTTTAGATGTATGGTATGTGTGTTTACATATTTTTTAAAAGAAAAGTTTGTTTTCTAACGCAGGCCTGCCGGGGTACGGAGCTGGACTGTGGCATTGAGACAGACAGTGCGACTGATGATGATATGGCGTGCCAGAAGATCCCAGTGGAAGCCGACTTCCTGTACGCTTACTCCACAGCACCCGGTAAGAATGCTGCCACAGAATGTTCTGTGTGGATTTCAGATGACTTAGATGACTTACAATGTGACCAACTTTAGAGTTGAGCAATAAAGACTATGTTTTAAAGGCTATCAAGATTTGTATATGCCCCTCACAAAGATTTTTACGTCCCTAAAATAACCAAGATGTTGTCTTAGTTACTTTCTATTGCCGTGACAGATGACCCAGACAACTTAGAAAAGCTTAAGTTGGAGCCCGCAGTTACAGTGGGTTAGAGTCCATGACTGTCGTGGTAAACAGGGGAGGAGGGGCATGGCAGTAGATGAGCAGACATGGTGCTGGGGTAGCTGGGAACTTACGTCTCCATCTCTAAGACAGCCCAAGGCAGAGAGAACTAACTGAGAATGGCAGGGATGTCTGAAACCTCAAAGCCCATGTAACATACCTCCTTCATTAAGGCCACAGAGGAGTTGGACTTACTGGGGACCAAGTATTCAAACATATGAGCCCATGGCGGGGGTGCCTAGTCTCGTTCAAACCAACACACACACAGAGAAGATATTAAGTTTGTGGGTGTAGACCTGAATATATGTGTATGTCATTGTGGAGGAGAAAACTGACTCCCACAACTTGTCTTCTGAGTTCTACATGCACAATCTTACACACAAAACAAATAAATCTATTCAAACAAACAAGTAGAATATACTCAATCTTTTTTTTTTTAATTCACTGGGTATCTTTCCATGCAGAGTACTTATAAAGTAAATGCAATGATTCCAGTAGTTAATCCGAAAACACAAAATATTACGCTGATTTCCTTCTTAAATACTATTTATTATATTCATCCAGATGCCCATAGATGAACCAATGGCGTTCTTTAAAGTGTGTATACGTAGGGGGCTAAGTAGACATCTTAGTTAAGAGCACTGTGACTCATGCAGAGGACCTGGGCTCAGGTCCTCGCATATGCGTGGTGGTTCAAAGCCATCTGTAACTCCAGTTCCAAGGGATCTAACACCCCTGATCTCCCTGTATGCTGCACTTTACGTACATGTAGGCAAAGGACAAGTCTAAAGAAACATTTGAAGTGTGTGTATGTAAGCAGTTTATTTCCTGTCTAAGTCAGTATTAAAGTCAGAGTTCTGGTTGAACACAAAGTAATCTGCATGGTCTCATTCGAATATGTTTGCGTTTGTATGTTCACACCTTCCTCTTCCTGTTCTTCCCTGCTCATCCCTTATGGGCATGAGACCAGATCGTAGGCTCGGGAACTCAATGGCAGTCAGTCCATACTGCCTTTTTTTTTTCCTATGGAGAGCAGTGAGCCATGTATAGTATATGTTTTCCCCTTGGTATCATTTCTCCAGAGACTACAGGTGTTATTTCTGTTTCCTTTTTATGGCTTATAAGACCATGGAAGTTTACATTTATTTTTATCAATGTTATGTAAAAAAGTATAAAATCTGCTACAATGATGGTATGAAGTAATGACGGGTATGGTGCTTTGCATTTCGCCCCATAGGTTACTACTCCTGGAGAAACTCAAAGGACGGGTCCTGGTTCATCCAGTCACTTTGCGCCATGCTGAAGCTGCATGCACACAAGCTTGAGTTCATGCACATCCTCACTCGCGTGAACCGGAAGGTAGCGACAGAATTTGAGTCCTTCTCCCATGACTCCACTTTCCATGCAAAGAAACAGATTCCATGCATTGTGTCTATGCTCACAAAAGAACTCTACTTTTATCACTAAGAGAATGAGTGGGAGGCATGTTTCTGTTCCTTTTGTTTTGAATGCCAAATGAGGAAACCGTGTCAGGGAGACTTCATTTCCCTCTCGTTTAAATCAGATGCGATGCTCCAGATGGTACTTTGAACCACACCGCCGCCCTAGCAATGCAACCACAGTGCAGCTACCTCAAGTTCAACATCAGGTAGTTGAAATGGAATTTAATCAGGAACAAAAAAATGTCGATGTCAAGTATCATTAGAGAGGAAATTACCGATTTACCCTTTTGATAATTAGCAAGATTTGGTGATGCTATAAATTTTGAAATAATTATGAAGTTAAACTTTGGGGTGATAATTTTATACTCTCTATACACATTAAGAATCTCATTTTAGTTTTTGTTAAACTATCGGTGGTGTCAAATAATGTCTTAGAACTTGAATCCACGGGCGGAGTCAAAGGCTTGAACCTTTATTTTGGAAGTGATGTATGGAAATGAACTGTTAGGCCACCGTAGCACTCATTGTAGCTACTGGGTATGTGATGTTTGTCCTGAGCATGTATTTGTTGTTTAAAAAAAAATCATGTTTTCTTACTGAACAAAACTTGAGTATTTATGTGAGAGGAAAACATGAGCGAATTGAGTTGACTCTCAGAGGCTATACCATACATCAGTAGTGGACATGACGGCAAGGTGCTAAGTCTACCAGCATTTGTTTCTTACTTCTTCTTATACAGATCAGCTAGGTTTTACGGACCAGCTGAACATCTAGTGGATGGTTATGTAACAGCCTCACACTGTTGATTATTAGAATGAAATAAAGAAATTCTGCAGGAACATACTAAAATACCAGCTGTAAAATAGAGTGTAAGGAGGTAAGTGAATCTCCTGTGACTGGAGAAAGATGGTTTGAGCCAGGGCAGACATGGCAGAGCCACGGACACAGCTTCAGAAAGGACTGCCAGCTCGATCCACCTCATGGGTGCTCGTTTGCATGGATGATGTCCCCAAGGTCCAGGTCACCGCGTGAGAAATTGAGCCAGATCAGAAACTTCTGAGAAAGGACTTTCCCAAAGTGGTGAGTCTCCAGAAAGATTCCCTAGGCTCCATGTCTGGAGTCTAACCATGCTGGCTTTTCTGTTGGAGTTTACAAGAAAAGCAAACCAATGGTGATATTTGTATTGTCACCAGAAATGAAAGGACCATGGCACACAGGACTTGGGAAGCATCCAGTTGCAGGCCCTGCAGCCCACGTGGGAAGCTGCAGAGTGGAGTCCAGCCCCTCAGAGAGGCTGTGCTCCAGGCTTCCTCATTCATGAAGGTGCTGAGCCATTGCTGGCTATCCTGATGTGTCCAGCATTTCACGTTAGCGTTCTTTTTGCTCAAAGAAAGGAAGGAACTCACATAATTGGTAGAATCTCGTTTAGACTGGATCTATTAACTCCCAGTTAATGTAGCATGTGATGGTGTTTTAAAGTGTGTTCCCGTGTGTCAATTTTGTAAAAGTTTGTTGCATTTTTATTTCAAAACATAAAATTCGGATTTAAAATTATCAGCGTATTTGAGTCTTTTGTTGTCGGTACTTTGGGGGTTGTGATAACTAAGTGAAACTTAAAATAGTTTTAACCCAGGGCTTAATTTAGGAGAGTCAAAGAGGATACAGAGGGGCCCTAATCTAACATTTTTAAGTGTTAGCAAGTGACAAGACCTCTGAGGGGATGGATATGATTTAAACCCTGAAAAAGAATAAGAAGGGGTGGGGTCATCTCGAATGCTTACATAATCATAGCTGCTATAAAATCCAGAACGAAACTGAATCAAGGAACTCCTATTCCCAAGGATCAGAGTAGCGTGAATGTTATTCTGTCTCTTTTAAACCTGTGGCTTGGGGCTGGAGAGGTGGCTCGGTGGTTAAAAGCACTGGCTGTTCTAAATAAATCTTTAAAAAAAATTCTGTAGCTCTCTATTATGTTCTGAGTAAATGCTAGCCTGTTTTAATTTCCCTACTATATAAAGAGGTCTCAGATATTTCAAAGATTAACGAGTGGGGCTGGGAGTAAAGTGATTCTCTTACAAGCCCAAGAACCTGAGTTTGATTCCCAGAATCCATGTTGAAAAGCAAGTTTGTTGGGGCTGGAGGGATGGCTCAGCGGTTAAGAGCAGTGACTGTTCTTCCAGAGGACTCACCTGGGTTCAATTCCCAGCACCCACATGGTAGCTCACAATTAACTGTAACTCGAGTTCCAGAGGATCTGACACCTTCAGACAGACACATAGGCAGGCAAAATAATGCCAATGCACATGGAATAAATATTTCTTTAAAAAAAAAAGAAAAGACAAGCAAGTGTGGTGGTGAGCTCTGGTAACTCTTGCAGTGATGGAGATAAGTGAGTTCCTCAGGCAAGCTGCCCAGTCGGCCTACCCTACCCACTTAGCAAGCTCCAGGCCAATGTGCTGAGCTGTTGAGGAATGACATCAAGGTTAACCACCGGCCTGCGCATACAAGATAAAACCATCTGCCCAGTAGAAAAATGGACCAAGTACACGAATAGACCAAGAACAAGAAAGAGCACATATCCCTTAACTAAAGATAAAGAACTTAATTTCTGCCACCAAAAATGGAGGAATGTAAAATAAACTATCCTCTACTAGACTGGCAGGTATCGCCCAACTGCTGGCATTACAGGCATTTGTCACCATGTCTAGCGTGTGATGTGGATTTTTCAGACATGTTGTATCAATATTCATAAGATGATGTATTCATAGGTGGCTGTTTTTCCTTCCTAAGCCAGGGTGAACCAGATCTCTTTTTTTTTTTTTTTTTGGATAATTCTTCCCATGATCGTCTTTAAAAAGCAAGGCAAACTCATGAGGAAAATAAGGAAATTGGGGTTTCTTGAGGATGCAGACCCTTTGTCTTAATAGTGATGCGTGGCCGTTGGGTTAGTTTTTTCCTGGTACTTAGTTTATGCTATATTGGGGAGAATCCAACTGCAGCTTAAAAGATGTTAAAACCACCGAGGAGTATTTTCCCTGAACACCAGGAGACACAGCTACCAAGAAACAGGTATAGTGCTCCATGGAGACGCGTACCTAACTCCTCGCCTACCAGTCTTTGGTAGGAGTTGTAGAACAGTAAGACTCAAATACGAAAGCCTGTGGTCAGAAATGAGTTGTCTGACTCAGAGAGGAAGTAGATCTTGCTGTACCAGGAGAGAGTTGGCTTTGGAGAAGAAGACACATATTCAAGAGAGGTAGGTAGGTGTGGTGTCTTTTCTGTGTTCAATTCGAGATACCCACCACTTCCTTCCCAGGGTAGATAAGTTTGTTAGGATGGCTCACAGAACCCACGAACGTACCTTAGTTCTAGTTCCCGGTTTGTTAGCTAATACAGTCAAAGAATGTGGAAACGGGGAAAGGTGTGGGGGGAGGGGCACAGATTGCCCTTGTTTCCTGGGAGTGTCCCGTCTGTCTCCGCTCTATTCAACAACCAGCAAACTCTCAATCTCATTAGGTCTTCTAGACCTCAGGTCCCAGCAACTCCATTTTCCTCAGAGTTAGTGGTAGGGTAGACCAGGCCGAGCAGCCTGCACTGAGATTGTCCATGGCTCTGCCTAACCGTTAACATCATCCCAGGTGTGTGCTAAGTAAAGGGGCTTGCTAGGAAGATCAAAAGTCACTCTGTTCTTCCAGAGATTCTAAGCAGCTGAGGACCTCTGTGTGCAGGAAGTGTGATGAAGGGCATGAGTCTCATCCTGGACTTGAGCCTTGTGGCTGTGATTGTAGATTTACTCGGGAAGAAAAGAGTTGAAGAAAATGGAGCCCTGCAAGTTTCAGGACGCCCAGGCTGTCTGCTGGCAGAGGAAAGAGCAGGGTTTTTATTGAGTTCCTGGTGGCATCTGGAGTATTGAATCGTGAGGATAATATTTTCCTCTATCTCTGGCTTAAGGGAATTTTCCCATTGAAGAAAACAGAGCAATGGCCAATTTGTCCCTGGAGATGTTCTTACATCACCTTGTACCGGGTGGGTTCTTGGGATAAAGGGATACTGGGGCATAAAAAGGAGAGAAGCTGGGTGAACGAACACCTATGGGTGGGAAATGGGAAAGCCAAAGTCTTCTGTCCCCATGAGTTAAAATATACCTCCCGTGTATATCAAAGTCATGTGACTAAGACTGTGTCTGTACCTTTAGGCTGTGTATCTGGTGCTTATGTTTAGTAGATGAAAACCATCAGAGCAGAACCAGCAGAGATGGACAACATGGGAAAGAGGAACCCATGTGACAGTTGGTGAAATTAATAGGGATTTCGAGATTTGACAGAGACCAGGGTGGTGACAAGAAGCAGGTAAAGCCTGATGCTCTAGAAAATACCTGTCTCCTACTATCCAGCAGCCTCCTCAGTGAGTTCATTGCATCTCCGTATCCTATTTTCATTTGTAGCATTTAGTTTCTTGACCATCCATGTCTCTGAGACCTTTGCACACAGGACTTTGAAAGGGATGGATTCTACTGAAAATATAAAATCTGCTTTTTGTTTCTGGATTTTCATCAGAGCATCGTAATAGCCGAAAGCACCATGTAGAAATAGCTTCCTGCTTATGGCCGAGGCTGCTGTGTCTCTGCCCTGAACATTGCTTCTAGAGCCGTTGCTGATGGTTGTGTTGGTTACTTTTCCCATTGTTGTGACAAAGCGACTGACAGAGGCAACTTGAGGGAAGAGGGATTTATTTGGTTGGGTTCACAGTTTGAAAGCACACGGTCTATCATGGTGAGGAACACATGGCGGAGTCCATGGCATCTCAGGAGTGTGTCTATAATGCCTCACACCAGTGCACGAGAACCGACAGAGGGGAACACTAATGCCAACTTGGCTCTCCTCTTTCCCCCTTTTATTCAGTCTGGGCGCCCAGTTTATGGGTTGATGCCACTCAGATTCAAGGTGGGTCTTTTCCTCAGTCCTTTCCGGAAGCACCTCACTAACATATACAAAGGCATTTCACCTAGGGAATTCTAAATCCATCCAAGCTGACAATGAAGATGAACCAGCCCCTGATGCAAATCCAAAGGAAAGGACTGAGAACAAGATTTGCTTGTGGTTTATGTTTATAGAGTTTATCATCTAAGGGATGAGTTCACAGGTGCTGGTGGGAGTGGGGTGGGAGCAGCCTATGTGCTGAAACCACGCTGTATTTCTTCACATGCCTTCCTCGTTTCCTACTTTCCCCTCACCTCCATGGCCCTCATCTCTTGCTATAAGCTTGAGAGCATGGAATGGAAAATTATTTAAATTTTTCTCATGTGTGCATTTGAGAGTGATCCCACCTAGCCTACTATCAAAATTAATTAAAAATCTTTTAATATACAGACTTAATCCATTTTTCCAATTTTATTTTCTGTCACTTTATCAATATTGATAAACTTTGGTATGCATCTGTAAAAAAAATTGTTTTCCAATGTTGTTTAAATTGGGTGGTGGTGGCACACATCTTTAATCCCAACACTTGGGAGGCAGAGGCAGATGAATCTCTGAGTTTGAGGCCAGTGTGATCTTCAAATTGAGTTCCAGGACAGCCAGGGGTGCACAAAGAAACCTTGTCTTGAAAAACAAAACAAAAAACAAACAAAATAACAAAAAAAGAAATTTAATATGAAGTTAGGAGTAGTGGGGCACATTTCTAATAATAAAGACACTAAGACAGGAGGATTGTGAGGCCAAGGTCATCTTGTGCTACACAGAGAGACCTTCAAAATCAAACAAAATAGGAAGAAGGGAGGCAAGAGGAAATAATGTAATATGAACTCTCAAGGAACATCTCTGATATTCACTTCATTCAAATATCCTTGTATTTGATTTGAATGTCCACTATAATACAAAATTCTAACCTGCTTAATCCATGTCCTCTTCTCATCCCAGCTGGTCCCTTCTCACCTCCTCAAACAGCAGAATAGGAAAGTTGAGGCAGTTGACCCAAAACAGCATTTGGGTTTACCCAGTGAGAAAGACAGGCTACACCTGTTGCCATGATCAGGTCCACTCACCTAGCTCTCAAAATCCAATACTTGGGAGATGAGACTTGGTGTGAAGGATTCTGTTCTCTTCGAGGGCTGCCTGGAGGGTGGAACACACTATCAAGCCCAAAGTTCTTTCTTGAGAAACTTGAGAGTACAACAACCTTTATTGCTATGGTAAGGAGCAGAGAGCAGGAGCAGAAGGATAACGTGCTGAGTCGCTTGTGTGGCTCTCTCTTTCTCTTCTCCCACTAGAACACAGTGGATCACAAACTGGTGGAACTAATAATTCATATGCTTTGTGTCGCGTGGCTGGCGTACAGAATTAAACCCTAAGAAGGTGCATTTGCATATCCTGATGGTATCTGAAGGTCAACAGACGTTCTGGAAAGCTAAGGAAAGAATATTTAGAATTTGCATATACCTTTTTACTCATTTAGACATGGGTTTTGTTTTGAAATTAGAATTTTGGTCAAAAGGAAGAGATATAACTTTGCAAAGGACAACTTTCAAAGGGGTGGCCACTGTTATCAAGGCTTTG